TCCGGCTCCGCTCTGGTCTTTAACAAAAATTTCAACGATATTTGTCGTTGTGTTATTTTTTAAAATAAAAGAAAAGTTATTGCGGCATTAGTTAGACATAAACGCTGTCGCGACACTTTTTGTAAATATTAATGTGTTCTACAAAGTTGTAGTACATTATTTTATTCTATCATCAATAGTTTTCGCAGGGCACGCGATGTAAAGAATATTTTAGGTAATTAGGTCACATTGGGTACACATTTATTTGAGTTTTAGTAAGGATACCTAATTTTTTTCAGAAAATATTATAGCCTATGTCACTCTGGAATAGTGTAGCTTTCAAAGAGTGAAATAATTTTTTAAATCGCTTCAGTAGTTTCGGAGCCTATTCAATACAAACAAACAAACAAATCATTTCTCTTTATAATAGATGGAATATCAAGAAACCACTCTCTAAATTTCATGCTTATTGAGATTTTAGCCAAGACAATGACCTGTTAAAAAACGTTACCAATCCTTATTATTAAAATTTATGAAAATTCATGCAATTTGTTTATCAATAACATAATTTTTATTTCACCTTTCTCATATGTAAATGGCACATTTCATTAGTTACGTGATTTATTAGATTTATTTTGTTTATTATATACATATATGATTATATTCGAAAAGAATAGATTAATATATATACTTTATATAATACACATAAATAAATCAGCATAAGCATTTTGTGATAAAGAAAATAAATAGTCTACGAATAAATGTGCCAAGCCAAGCGAGAGGAAATGCTCCATTGTTCGCCTCTTAAAAATGACTAACGCGTATATAATTTAGAAGAGAGTTCTCGCACAGCTCGAGCTGTACAAATATGTTGTAGAAAATACGATGAGTTTTTTACAAGGACTTCTTAAAGACAAGAGCATTGTCGAGGGGACTGCTGTGGATCAAATACTCAAAGTGATCTCGAATTTTATTGTATTCGTTCAAACCTAGTAAAAGTCAGGTTTTCATTTAAGAGCTGTCTAACGCCCGACTGACACTTTCACTACGCATCATATATGCTGAATATATGTAAACCTCACTCACAGTTTCACAAAGCAACCAATTGTGGTTGATCTACATTCACATACAATATACCTTAAGGAAAATTTCTAGCGATATATTACACGTATAAAATCTTGCTTTATTTTAGTGTCGCATATTGTGGTCGTAAAAGGAGTTTTGACTGCTTAAATTCAGTATTGTTTCCTATACAGGGTGTTACTAAACTATCCGTAAAGCCGAAATGAGGTTAAATGGGACCTTATAACGAGTCCATTTACAATATTTAAGAATCGTAGTAACGCTGTATAGCATCCCCCAAAAAAATAAAAAATAGTTAATTATTATTTTCACTGGTGTGCAAACCCTAATTCAGCAAAATTAAAGACTAAACTATGCAGAATGTACCAACATTTCTACCTAATTCGCAGAACGACAAATTTTTTAAAAGACATTGAAATTGACATCTAACTTGAATTTTTTTGAAGCCAGTACTTGATTATAAAATGACATCCTTGTCTTGAGGTAGCGAACATTTATGAATGAAAAATAGTAAAGCTATTAAAGTAGACAATTATTAGGTAAAATAGGTACGTAGTCTTTTCTGTTAAATAATCTGGTTCTCTGACGTGACAGCTTACTAGAGTTAACAAAATTTTAGGCTTTGATAATTAATTATATTTTTTACGGGGTATTTTGTAACACGTTGTATATATAGTAGTACTCTGCTACTCAGTGCTGTTTCCTATCACGAAAATCATGTTTTATACTTACATATATAATTTAAATATATAGGAAACAGAATATCGTCGATCGGCATTAACGATTAAATTATTGTTTTTGTAATAATGTTTTCGTATTTCGGTAAAACAATTACAAATTATTTACGTTGCTATTATTATCGGTAATACTCCACGGCTGTTTGTTTTTATTCATTTTACTAGGACAGTTCCTTTGTTATAGTTGAATCAAAACAACAAACCTTTAAATAGAATGATAGAGAAATTAATGGTGTTTGAATGAACACGTAGAAATCGAGAATCGATTGTATTATAAATGGGTTTCCTCCCTTCGCGTTACTAACAGTGAAATATTATTTTTCATCCTGTCACATATTTTGTTGCAATCTCGACTGATAAATATTAGTCCCTATAGATTATTAAGATTCTATTAATTATTATTGTTTATTTTATTATATTAACATAACGCATTATATATTATATTGCTATATAAATAAATAAAAAATGCACATATGGATAAAGCAGCCATATGTGGTAGGACCTCATGTGAGTCCGCACGGGTAGCTACCACGACCCCGCCTATTTCTGCCGTGAAGCAGTAATGCGTTTCGGCTTGAAGGGTAGGGCAGCCCTTGTAACTATACTATGAGACCTTAGAACTTATATCTCAAGGTGGGTGGCGCATTTACGTTGTAAATGTATATGGGCTCCAGTAACCATTTAACACCAAGTGGGCTGTGAGATCGTCCACCCATCTAAGCAATAAAAAAAAATTAACTCAGTATAAGATACACAATCTGTACGCCACCACTCTCCCCGTGAAATTAGGTCGATGTCTCAATTATATTGTATAACGACTGGCTCACCCTTCAAACCGAAACAAACTGCTTGGCTACAGATACAGACAGAATTGTAGTATACACCCGTTCCAGCGCACAACAGCGACCTATTGATTATGAAAATTACTTATCCACTACGTTATTTTGTTTGTAGGCTTCAGCTTTCATATGTGCTGACCGAATATGGTTGCTGGCATCCAATAACGACTTAGCAATGTGAAGTGAGACATCACTTGAATTTTGCGAGTGCATCATCTTGTAAAAGCAGGCGGCGGAGTTTCAAAGAAACCGCCCTTCTCCGTCCATACACATCTGTGGCTATTAAGCCGTGGGCTGGGTGAAGGTTTTCATTAGAATCTTAACCGCTCTAACTCCCCTTTTTTTAAACCTACCTATGCTGATAGCTTTGAGAAGCTATTTCAGCTTCAACCTAACGTGTGTAGGTGAGCTCACGGGGCTCAAGCCGGAGTGTTGCTAACACTGACCCTAGCAAGAGCAGTGCTTCGCAGAATCCACCACCGGATCGGAAACGCGACCTACGGAGAAGATCCGGCGAGAAACTCAGTGGGCTGTGTCAATGGGCTAATTCGCTCGCCGAGTTCTCGTCGAGCCCGGGCTCGGACGGTGACCGGTGCTTGTGGTGCCTAAAAGCACCGTTAATGGATCGGGAGGATCCGTAATGATGCGCTTTGGGCGACGTCGACTGTTTACCATTTGGTCTACAGGATCGGGTATGTAGTTTCCAGCGGCCACGACAAGAGGGTTCTTATGTCGTACCACCTTCTCGAAATGACTCCCTTTTAAGATCCCCTTTCCAGTATGGGGACTCGTGTGGGAGACCCAAGAGGACGACGTATAAGAGGATATATCCCGCGTTTTGCGAAAACCAGCCGGATGACACATGATTATACTTTCCGACCCGCAATGGTTCAGAAGCAGTAATATATCCTAGGGCTATGTATTGGTGGCGTTATTTCAGCAGACTACAGATAGCTTCGAATAGTCCGTCAACCGAAAGGTACGCTGGTCATGCTACGAATGATTTGTTATTTCGTGTGACAATGGTGGCGGAGAGAGACGCGCTTTACGAAAAACATGTTAACTTGCCGCATGTTGTTGTTTTGAGGTGTTTTAGTCTGTTCAATATCAACGTATCTACCAATGCGTAGCTGAAAGTTGCGTCACAAAAAATGCTGCTCATGATTAATACTACTGTAAGCTCTATTATTCTAATCGTAAATTTATTTGTAACACCTAAAATTCCTATTTATTATTATGATGTACCCATATTTTTCTCATTGATAAGAATCATTAGTACTGCCCAGAGCATAAACAAATATAAAAACGAATACGTCTTAAACCATATTTACACTGAAAACATAGAAATAAGGAATGTATTTTTAGTTATAACTGCATAGCAGTTGTTAGTGAAGCAGAAAGGGCCAGTTTCTTCGTTTTTGTTCTAAAACCGTTTACCCTGAGGCGTTTTACTCGTAAATGGAGGTCGGGTTTATTGTTTTAAAGCAAACATTGCATTCACTGCCAGTCATTGTTGTAGTACCAGTTACACAAACGTTCACTTAGTTGTTAACTTAAGAAAAAGTCGACCTGTATTTCGAATGGTGTTGCGAATCTGGCAAAGTAATCTAGTCAATGCTGCGATTTCAAATATCAATATTTATTAATTATTATCAGCGTATTATATAAAAAATTCTGATATTTTACACTTGCTGACCAAACTAACAAATTGTGGATACACTTTATTGGGTTTTGCTCACGTCCCAGCAGGTGTTAAATGGTTAGAGGAACCTATAGAAATGAGTCCTAAGTCTCAGTTTTGAATTATGACGTGTGCCTCGCCTTAAAACTAAAGCGCATTACTGCTTCACGGCAGAATAATTTTAAGATCGGATAGTGCATAAAAAACAAATAAAAAAACGTAGGTAAGCGTGGTAGTTACTCCGCGCAGTGAGGAGAGATTCAAATTTTGAAATAAGCTTAGTAATCACGTGGTTAAAATTCAAAGAGAAAATAATCGAAAATATTGCAAATTTTTAAAAACTTTATCTTATTCACTTATATTCATCGACTTTTTATGTTTTATAATCCTAAAACTATTCCAGAATTTTCCACGAATCAACTGAAAATTTAGAAGCATTTTACTACTTTAGAGGATTACTACTAAATGCTAACTAATTTAAAAACACCTACATAGTTCCTAATGCCTATCGCAGGATATTATCATTACCTCCTTTACTATTATTTTAACAATATGTTGTTACGTGTTAATATTATGTTGTTGTCTGACACCAATAATTTTTTTATAATATATAAAATACACCTGATTTCATCATCGGCTACTGTTTATTAGTAGAATGTATTAATTTTGTTTTTTTCGTAGGTGGTGAGAATGTTCGTGCTGGTCGTGATGGTGTTTGCTCTATGCTGGCTTCCATACCACGCGTATTTCGTTCTGGTGTATCACCATCAGTCACTCGCCACGGCGCCTTTCGCTCAGCACATCTATCTCGGCTTCTACTGGCTGGCGATGGCAAACTCCATGTTTAATCCTCTCATATACTATTGGATGAGCAATAAGTATGTACACGTTATGATTACTTAAAAAACTATATATATATATATATATAAATTCTACATTCAAATTTCCAAACATATTTTTTTAAATTAAACACTATTTTACCACTATTTTAGAATCTGTCATAATTATCTATAAAGCTTGTAAACATTTATTTAATAATGCTTCTTTATCTTCATTTTCTTTGTGGTACCGGAAATATTGAACCGTACAAAGGAAAATTGGTCCCTCGTGTCGTGGGGTATTCGAATCACTCCACATCCCAATCACTTCCGCAATTTTTTATAGTTTTCGAGTTATGAATTTTTTTTCAAATTTTTAGAGAACTTCAGACGTGAGCCACTTAAAAAAAAAAATTTAGAAAAATTTTCGAGACTTTTTTTTGCAAGTAATTTTCTACGAGTTGTTCTTTTATGCATAAAATAATCAGCTTCGTAACTTTATTGGAAGTTATAAAAATTTTGGTGTAAAGAGAAAAAATTACGGTTGGTGAATTAGACTTACATTTTCAACATTAATTTAAAAATCTAAACAGGTGATTAAATAGTACCTAAGTGACTTTTGAAAATGCGCTAGGCTCTCAGCATTCCTAATCGATAAAAAAGTAGTGCTTAACGAGCTACTTTGGCTAAAATTGGCCTTCAAAGGCAGCGAGGTGGCAAAAGTGAGTATCGAACTCAGACTAACTATAGTATTTCAAAATGGCGGTGTTCCGTGTCACTACGCAACACAAGTCCGAAATTACGTAAATGAAACATACTATATACATATAAATAGTATTAAAGTTAGTATACTTAACAAATCTAAAATTTTAGTCAAAATTGGAATTTCCATTTCAGCTTTTTAGGTTATTTAAGTTATCAAGATCTTAGTGCTCGATTAGTCGGGGTACCGAACTACGCATTATAAATAGCTTTAAAGCTGGATCCGTAGGTAACTAGTGCGGTTGCGACGACCGGCATGAAATATCCAACATAATATAGAATTGCTGTTTGCATCTACGCTAAATTCACGGAGACTTGGGTGGCGACGGAAGCGATTTACGGGGCGTTTGTTGCGATCTGTTTTGGCCTTGAGATATATTTCAAGTGCTGATGAAGATTTGATATTTATCCTGTCATAAGAGAGAGAGAGAATACACTTTATTGAACACCAAAATACAATTTACATTTAAAAAAACAGTCAAAAAGCAGATACATTTGTACAATAGGCGGTCTTATCGCTAAAAGCTTCTACTTCCAGACAACCGTTTAATTTACAGAAATTCTGGAAAATATAAAAATATAGCAGGTATGTTGCGGTGTACTAAAGACAATACATTATTATAGAAAATACATACATACAATAAACAGATATGTACCGTTTAAGAGGTTTTCGGAATGAATAAAAAATACTAAACCTTTTGTAAGAGTACTGTTAAAGAGAAATATATTTATTTACCGAAGCACAACAAAACAAAAAAACAGATAGGTATTTAAATTATTTAATTAAATTAATTAACGCCAAACTAAGAAAACATCTTGTACAGAACACTAAGGTACTGATAGAAAAAAAAACTGTGCGCGTGCAACTTGGTGCACGTGAATGAAGTGAAACTTCTTTTTCGATGTGTAGTACCTATTGTGGTTTTCTTCATTTTTCATCCTTAAATCAGATTGCTCTTGTAATAGGGAATGCTGTATATAAGAGATGCGACATCTTCAACATTTATATAATATATATTTTTAATTATGCAAATATATAACGTGTAAATATATATGTTTGCCTACATTAGCCGACAGTGGCGCTGTTCCAACTGCATACAAAGTTTGGCGCTATCGAGGACGTTAAAAAACTCGCACTATGCACACTGATTGGCTTGATAACCCCGCCAATCGCTCATTAGTTCGCCCGTAGCCTAGAGGGCCTAGACCGCTACGCGTGGTTAGGTATGTTTGAAAACCACGCACATTCAATCATTATGTCGCGTTCCGTTGGCGCTATCCAAAACACAGTGCTTAGTGCACTGTGGCCGTAAACGACAGCTTCATATTATTTATGTTTCATATTTTTTGTCCATTGTCGTAACCGCGCTAGGACCTTAGTGTAGACCCAACTTTAGTAACTACGTATTCATACAATGACCCAGCAAAAATCAAATTTGAAAATTCAAGTTTTACATTAGCACTTACTGTATTACACAAATAAGAATCAATATAATGAAAAAGACAGGATCTCATGGAGAGTTATATAAATTGTCAATATTTTATTTATTTAAATTAATTTCCTTTATCCATGAGTTGGCTTTATAACAACCCACCCGGTGTTAATTAGCTTTTTTCCTACCTATTCGCTGGTGGCCTAAGAGACTATTTCAGCTACGCTCTGACGGGTAGGTGAGCTCATGGACTCAGCCTGAGAGAATTTGCTAGCACTAACCCTAGCAGGAGCAGTGCTTCCCAGTATCTACCACAGGATCGGAATCGCGACCCACTGAGAAGATCCGGCGAGAAACTCAGTGGACTGTGTCCATGGGCTAGTTCTCCAGCTCTTCGTCGTATTCGACGAGTTCAACGAAGACGATGACTGGTGGTTGAGAGGCCTAAAAGCACCGAGGGTGAATCTGGAGGATCCAACAAATTATGTTTCGGGCTACGGCGGCTTTGCGTTGCCCCGTCGCGATCGGATAAGTTAATTGGTTACTGAAACACATATTTAGGCATCACAGCGTGAACGTCGCCGCTCACTTTGAGACATGAGGTCATAGTCTCAATTGTAATCTGTGAGAGTTTTCTGTGACTGCATTGCAGCAAATATAGACAAGATAGTGTGTGCCATGTGGGCTTACAATACGCCCTATCATAAATAACCCTTGATGGTAGACCGCGTTCTCCCGACCGCTCTGAGAAGAAGAAGAAGGGTCGTCGTACCCCCTTTCGGGGGTACGGAACGGGCCTCGGGGCAATCCCCACTGCCCGGGACGAAGCTCCCTGCCACATAGGGCAGGGGTGAAGTAGATGCGGGGAGGACTTGGGGAAGGTACGCTGTTCGCAGCGTGCACGGCTGCACTACATCGACAAAAATATATACATATACATAATACGATGGGCTTGGTTCTCTTGGGCGGAGTGATGCCCGCGGAGGAGTCACCCCGGCACCGGCTGCTGTCCTCTGCTTGAATTTTTTTTTTTTTTTTTTTTTTTTTTTTTTTTTTTTTTTTTTTTTTTTTTTTTTTTTTTTATTTTNCCCGAAAGGGCTGGCTCCCGAGGCGATCTCACGGATCACTCCGGAGACCACCTCGGACAATTTCTCCCAGAGCGCGAGAAGCCATGCAGCAAAGCCGGCAGGTTGTGAGGCCTGCCGACCGCTGCGCTGCTCGCGCTGAGGGCGGGGGGGAAGAGGGGGCAGAGTATTGCCCAACGGCTCAGGTTGAGCTTGAGGCAATGTTTGGGGAAATGTTTGTCCCTCCAGTTGTGGAGGGTTAGGGTCGGCAGTTACGTTGGCTTCCATGGCCTCATGAAGTTGTTGGTCCACTTCCATGTTTCTGGCACTGCTCTCTCTCGCCATTTTCTTCAAGAGTTTGACCGCTCTGGGGGCAGGTGCAGCGTGGCGGAATCAAGGTGGGCTCCCGGCCCGTCGACCGTGGGAACCGGTGGTTGTGTCGCCGGCGGCCGCCGGTCCGGCGTCTGGGGGACGGCGGGATGAATGTAATATGCCCTGCGTAAACCCTGTCCCGCCGTCTCAATAACTCCGACTGGGCTCCGACCCGGTCCGGGGTAGGGCGCCGGCTGTGAGCGTCAGGAGTTTTTAGTGAGGTTCAACTCTCACATACCCCCCACCCCCCGCTGCGCGGATGGGGATCCGGCGATTTCCTTCTGTGGAAAAAGAAATCGTAAATAACCCTAGCGAAAGATCCAATATACCTTGTATGAAACCATCTTTTAAAAAGACGCTCTTTCATTAATCGACTATAGCAGTATGACTATTGTTACTAAAAATACGTATTCTAAATGTCTTGCTACGAGTATAATCGTTCAAAGTTATATTTAAATAACATATTAATTGGAACAGATAAGAAGACAGATGAGATTTGAAATTAAATTCTAATGTTTTAATATCTCAAAAAGTATGAAAAAAAAACCGATTAAATTTGCATTTTAGTTAAAAGATAGATAAACGTTTACAAAATGTAATAGCGAAGCAAAGTCCAAATCACACACAGATAATGTCTTAGAAGAACTGTTTTTCAAGCTGACAGCTCTTCTTCATGACCGAAATGGGCTTTAGTTGACAACAATCATTTTTGACACCAGCCGAGAAATCGATTTTTAATTAACAAATTGTTTTGGAGGCTTGAGCTTTTATATTTACAGTGAAATTAATTGATTTCTGCGCCAAGGTATCGATTACATCAATTCCATAATTGAAATTTTCCTTTAATACCTTAAAACTTGATACTTCATAATTATTATGAAAATCAGGACATGCAAACTTTAAGCTAATCGGTTATAATCAATCAAATTCGATACGAAGCTCCTTGAAAATTATTACTTTTTTTTCCCCTCTATGCTGATAGCCTTGAGAGGCTATTTCAGCTTCACCCTAACGTTAGTAGGTGAGCTCGCGGGGCTCAACCGGAGAGTTGCTAACACTGACCCTAGCAAGAGCAGTGCTTCGCAGAATCTACTACTAATATATGTGGACTATAGAAAACTTATAACATTCATTTTTTTCTTTTGAACACATCACCATAATTTTGCAATATTATGTATTATGCTATTGTTGACCATCATGAAAGATTTAAAATTAAACGTCCCTAGTGAAATATTTCTTCGGATATTTTCAATATTAAGCTTTGTCGGCATTTAATTAGCGTCTTAAGTTGTTAAAACGTGCCGAGATTACATTTTTTGTTTCAAGTCAACAGACACAAAGGGCTATTGTTTTTCGGCAAACATAATTTATTAACATTAGATTGTCGAAATACATTTACCGTATTATTAAAGTTAGAGCAAAAACGTTA